TACTATAAAATATAACAGTCCTCAGAGGGAAGGAACATCCATCTCATTGTGTAAGCAAGACAGTGAAGCTTGGGGGAAGTTACTTTGGGGGATAGAGCTTTGGTGGCTGACAGAGCTAGCAAGGGACAGAGCTGGCCTGTGAGTGAAGGTCTCCTACTCTTAAGCCCATGCTATTTTCATGATGCCATGAACACATAGCACACTTCCCTTTTAGTTGAGTGGTTCGTGATCTTACACAAGGGCTATGTGTGCTTTGGTGTCGGGGGTCGACAGACCAGGGTTTTGGTTAGATTTACAGTATTACCTGGCACAGTGTCTCCTCTGATCCTCAGCTTTACGTAAGACCGATACCTGGCTTCTGTGCCTTGCAGCTCTGCTGTAGCAAGGGAGAGAATCGGAATGAAAGCTCTTCAAAATAGGAGAATGTGCCACTATGTAATACCATTAATTAGCTTCTCATTTGATTATATTCTTAGTGTTTTTTTCCTTCACTAGCCTACATTTCAAAGTTTGGGAATATGGTCAAGCCTCGACCAGAGGCTACATATTAGCTCCCACTATGAATTTCTTGGCAAAAGCCCTCTTGGGCATTTGGCTGGTATGAACACTTAAGCCTGCTCTTGGTTCTTTCATTTTAAGGACATCCCCAACTTGGCCTAGCTCAGCTCCACCTGGGATATCTATGTTCATGATTATTTTCTGAACATTTCTCTTTCCCAGGTTGGTTTTTAACTCCTCTCATCACCCACTGCGACTCGGGTTTGGTTGGTGGCCCCAGGGCCGTGGTCTAGAGACTCTTCCCTTTTCTCTTCCTTACGCCCAGTCTCACGTCACTGATAACTGTCCCCTTTTATCTTTGCTCTTGACTTCCAGAATATAAAGATGCTAAAGACATTCTTATCTTTTACCAAAATAGCCCCCACAGCCCATCCCACCTGTTCACACCGTAACACCATTTTCTCTCACCCCCTGGCTTTTGTGGCTTTTATATGGTGATGTGCAGAATTCTGGTGCCTAGTTGTAGGGTAATCTGATTGGAATGTTTCATTGGAGAACCACAGATGTGAGTACCTGTAGATCTTTTCTCTAGAGCTGGTTAGAGTTTCTAGAGGAGACTTCCAGACCCTTGGCTGCCATGTCCTGGGGCTCAGCAGGTGAAGGGTGAGCATCAGAGGACTGGATCTGCCCCCAGGGAGTGCACTGCACTTAGGCCTGTGTTGGCTCTGCTGCTCTCATTTGTTATGTAACCTCGCTCTGATTTTACCCCAGGCCTATACTGACCTAACTCATCTTGAACTTTCTACCTTAGCGGTTCTTAAATGGGATGGGGGTGGGGGTCGGATGTTTGGAAACGTGTAGGATTTGGGGGTTGTATTAGAGACTGTTGACTGGGATGCTAAAAGTTTTGCAGTTTTTTAAAAAGATTTTATTTATTTATTTTTAGACAGATTGGAAGGGGAGGAGAAAGACAGGGAGAGAAATGTCAGTGTGTGGTTGTCTCTTGTGCTCCCCACACTGGGGAACCATGCCTGCAACCCAGCATGTGCCCTGACTGGGAATCGAACCAGTGACCCTCCGCTTCTCAGTCGGCGCTCAGTCCACTGAGCCACTCCAGCCAGGGGAGTTTCACAGTTTTAATGTCTGCAGGAACAATTGCTTTTCCCAAGCTATCAGTGGTTCCCTTTTTTAAAACAGCAAACTTAATTAAACTTTTAAACTTAATTAAATAAACTTACACAGACACAGAGGGTGCAGGGTGTGTTCTGGAGGTAGATACCACGTGATTTAGAGATGGACTAAGTGTGGAGACCTAAGGAGAGAGAGGCATCAAAGGGGGTCGTAGGTTTTGTCTTGCCTTGACGGGGTGAATGATGGTGTCCTTTGTGGAGATGGAGAAGCCTAAGGGGAAGGAAGAGCTGGTTCTGTGACGAGCACATGGTATTCAAGACGGCTGCATCCAGGGCCCCAAGACAATGTTGACGTTTTTCTTTGATATCCATTGCCTCTTTAGACTTGGTTGTTATTCACCTGTCATACAAAAAAACCCAAAACAAACCAAACCCAAAAAACAATGTCCCACTTAATTCTTTGGCTGTGTGCTCCTGTACCCCTCCTTATTGCTGCTGTCCACCAACCTTATTTGTTGAGGACTCTGGGACTTAGCCTGTCCACCCCACATCCTGGGACAATAACAGGCAGCTTCAGGGCATCTGTGAGCAACATACCCAAGGACCGTCTTCAAGGTTCTCTGCCCTGCAGCGGGCCAGCAGTGCCCGCGTGCACCGTGGTTTTGAAGCCGAGTTCCCCTACTTCCTAACTGCGCAACTGGGAAAATTCTGCTCAGCCTTTTGTGTCTCATTTTCCTTAATTGTAAATTGGGGATCATAGTATCTGGACACGTGGGGTTTGTTACTAATTATAAATGCCTGGCACATAGTAAGCATTCTGTAAATGGTATCTATTAAGATTATTAGTATTTAATTATTGTATATCTATTTAATCATATATGCTGCTGTTATTCTTTCAGTTAAGCAACCAGTTCAAAAGCTACCCCTTCAGCCTTACCTCCTCAAATAAAAACTCTTAAATTTTAAGCGCCCCCAAAAGGGGCACTGACCACAGTTGCCTAATATGTTCAGTATACTTGGTTAAAAAAATAAAACAAAGCTGAGCAGTGCTCCAGTTCAGCAGTTCCTGTTTACAGGTGTACATCAGGTTTACCCAGGGGCTTTTTCAAAATATCTGGGCCTTCTGGGGGTTTGAATAGGATGGGGAAGGGTGAAGGGTAGCCTGAAATACCTCTCCCCCCTCCATTTTCTTTCAGTTAATCACCCCCTTGCTTGGTTCCTTTCCTCACCAGTCTCCCCTCCATTAATTAGTACCTTAAGCTACTTTCTCATGGCTGCCCTTAATTATGTTCTCATTCTCTTTTCATCTTGCCCCATTTGCTCGGTTAACCTCTAACTCGGCATGAATCCAGTGCAGTCTGAATCCAGTGTGGGCTACTGAAAGCCACAGTTTTTGAGCAACGTGAGATCCTGTCATGTGGTATTTTGCTCTTCAGTCTTTACTATTCACATTAGAGCAGCTGACCTTCCGCGACACAGTGGGCATATGGCTGTTTTCATTAATACTGATTTCAAAAGTAACTTCACCTCTCGTGTAGTCCAATTACCCAAGATCTCTGTGTCTATCAGTCATGTCTCATTTATTTTTACAATATGTTTTGAGTGGCATTAGTGATATTAATGTTTTATATAGGAGAAAACCAAGGTACAAGATAGTAAAATAGTTTGGGGCGTCAGCTTGCAGGCACAGTGTTTTTGAACTTTGGAAGATAAGTTTGTATCGTCATGTATTAAGCAACCTTTCTTCTCCACATCCATTGTCTTATTAGGCAGTATAATGGCTTTAGCATCACTGTTTTTAAGGAATTTGTGATGAATTATTTTAATAAATTTTCTTTTTGAGATGGAACATGTCCTGATCAGTTCCAGTCTGTAACTCTGGGGAGAGGTTTGTTGGTGCATGTGGGTGTGTGTGGGTGTGTGTGGTAAGTGACCATCTTTGGCTTTGGTTTCTAACAAGAATTTTAAAAATTCTGTTACAACTAGAAAACTCCTTTTGCAGTTTTTATTCATTTTCCTATATTCCCTTTGGAAATAGTGAACCCGACCCAATTATTTTTTGAGAATTCATTCCACAGAACAGTATGTTAAAATATTTTTGTTCTTCTAATTAAGTTCAATGTAAAACTTGGTAGGCATCCACAGCTTGTATTCTTTAACATGCCAACAGTTCTATTCCTTGGTTAAGATGGGATAGCAGGGTACGATCTGAGGAACACAGCTGCCCCGTACGTGAAATAAGTGCTTTTTCTCTTCAAGCGTGATTTATCTAGATTTCGTTAGTCTAACAGTGGTCTTTGAAGTATATAACAATACGGTCCAGGTACGACAGAAAAAGAATAGGAGAGATATTAGAGACTAAATGTATTGTTGAATAAAATCCAGATTTTTACAAAATTCAACATGACTTTATTGCTACATCAGAGTGATTTTTTTAAAGGGAACTGGGGTGGTTGAGCAGGACTGGGGAATTCAGTGTGGCCCAAGATGAGTGAATACTAATGTGTAATCAGCCCCTGGTAATTTACATCAGACACTTGAGGAGCCCTGGAAGCTTCTTTGTAGAATACTAATGCATGAAACCTATGCTCAGTTTTATTTTCTTCTGTGAAGTGAATTTACTATAAAATGAAGCCTGACCTCATGGAGACGCCACAGTTTCCCTTAGACTGTTCACACAGGCTGTGACATTTCACCTGGAGATTGGTAGTAAACGTAACGTCTTTTTTCTTCTTTGAAAATGAAGATACTTAACATATTTTTATAATACTTGCATATTTTATTACAAAGCAGAATTTGAAGCATTCTGGGAATCACTTCCTAGTGACGATCAATATTAATAGCTTAGAATTCATTCCCCCAGACTTTTCCCAATGTATTAAATAACATAAATTTTATTTTTTCTTTAAAAACATGTTATCATGCTGTATACACTGTTTGTGACTTGCTCTGTTTAGGTAACAAGTCCCTTTGGGGGTTTGGGTATTGGGACACCCCCCATTCTTTTAATGGATTCATATTCTTCCATTACGTCATAGTTTTCTTATCCATCCCCCTGTTGGTGGACATTTACGTTGCAGTAAACATCCTTTATGCATATATCTTTGCCTATTTGGATAAATGTTTCTGTAGGATAAATTTTAAAAAGTGGAACTTGTAGATCAAAGGGTATGGCCATTTTTTATTTTAATGGATGTTTTTGGGCTTTGCAAAATGTTATAACGGTGTTCTTATTCTTATAAGAAATAAAGTTCTAAACATGCAGAAGTTTTAGCTAAGCAATGTATCATCATTAATGTATACCAGTATTTCTAATACAAGGTTTCTAGTGACATAAAAATCTTTAAAATGATAGCTCGTTTATTCTTACAGTGATGGAATGGGGTGAAGATATTAAAGCCATTTCACAAGATGAAGCGGTGATGTTGGTGAACCATCAGGCAACCGGAGATGTGTGCACTCTGATGATGTGCCTCCAGGACAAAGGACGGGTGAGCTTTTGCCTGACAGCAGGATGGGGAGGGGGGCCGTGTGGAATCCACCCAAGCATCTTCCTATGGCTGGAATGCAGACTTTAATATGTACTTGTGTGCTTTTCCCGAGACTTTAGAAAAGCTTTCAAAAATGCGTATTTCTAAGTTACTCCAGGAGAGAAATTTAGAGACTTAAAAAGAAATAATAACTGGGATAATGTGAATTGTATCTCTATAAAAGCTGTTTTACAAATAATAACTGGGATGAAAGCCAAGTTAATATGGCTAATCGGGGGCTGTCTTAAGGTGAAGTGGTAGACTGCCAGTTTGGGAAACAGAGAACAATATTGTTTAAGGTAGGAGAGTGACATCAGCCTGTGAATTTGCTGATCTGGGGGGTTTTTAGCCAAAGGAAAATGAGGTAAATATTATTTTGGATTCCATTTACAAAGCATATTAGAAGAAAAATTATAAGGCCCACTTTGGTTAGTGTTGTTCAGGGTCTAGTCGAACTGGTGATTTATACAGCTTAAGAAATTATCTTTAGCATTAAAGGACTTATTGCCTTAGGAGGAGTTAAACAGGTTTTACTCATAGAAAACTAAATAAATAGTATATGAAATTAATGCAGTAAATATTGGCCTAAGAGTAAGTAAACAATCTACCAGATGTTTATTAAGTGCTATATATTCATGGTCCGTGACTGTAAACAGATCACCACCCAATGACAGACTTTTCTCCTGTCAGAGGAGCCAACGAGCCAATAGTGAGAGGTGGAGGGAGGATATAGCAAATGATACATCATTGCAAAGTGAGAAGTATTCAGTGGCCGGTGAACTCACAGTGTACTTGATGGGTATAGTAGTGGAGGGAAAAGGACATAAACTTCACCCTGAAGAAGTACTATTGAGTAAGGCAGAGTTAGTGAAGGGCTTGTTCTTTAGTGAGATAGTCACAACCAAAGTGACCAAGGCAAGAAGAAACCTGGTGTGCTTAGGGCCTGGAGATTTTGATTCTGTAGCTCAAGAGTCAGAAAATGAGGTGAGAGTCGAGGAAAATCTGATTATTATGCTTCCAGTTTTTCTTGTTTATCTGGAAAGCAGCAGCACAATCTTGCTGGAATGTGGAATAAATTCACCTGTCTTCTATTAAGAATCTTGAATTGCTAAGACTCTCGATGTGTAGATGTATTTATACTTCTAGTGATATTTATCACCTATACCCTAAATTCATGATGTTAAAATTTTGTAAAAACTAGTTTATTTGGTTTTATATCAAGAGAATCCCCAATTAACATTTTTATTCTTACTGATATGATCATAATATTATCATAATTAGTGATTACACAGTGTACTTAATTAGTTTTGAATCTCAAAGAATGATTAAAATGGTCAATATAAATATGCCTAACATATTACTCTAACTCAAAGATGATAACTATATTAACCAGAATATAGTTAACCTGAAATTTGCCAGTCATGTGGACAAAAGAAAGTTTTTTTTACTTGCTTTTGTAAAAAGATTTCAGTTAGTTTGTCTTAGGTACATTTCTTTTTGTCTTCAGGTTAATTATACTAAACATTTTTATGATCTGATACTGCTGAATGATTTGAAATCTTGAATTTTAAAATCTTCTAAAGGAGTAAGTGAGAAATACAAAACTGGAAATATTGAAATCTTTACCTCTTACCTAAAAAGTTAGGGCAGTATCGACTTATATTTACAAGTAGGAATGTTTGCTTGTTGTTTTGTGTGCTCCATGCTCCATTCAAAGAAGGTACTCACAACACTTAAGAGAGTTCTAGGCTACAGTCAGGTTTCTTCTATCCAACATTCAATTATTTCTTGTTTCTTAAACACTTTAGGTTGTTGCTCAGATGATGTGGTTAATGGATCATATTTTTAAGTATACAAACTTTGGAATTGTTTCTCTGATTCATGGAGACTTCTTTATAAGACAGGTAAGTAATGAGGATTTTTTTTCCTTAGTGATACCCTGATCGAACTGTTTTTTCTTTTATAAAGAAGCATAACAAAACCAGTTATAATAGGTAACATTAGGGAGCTCTTCCTCTGACTCCGTGTTCCCTAAATCATTTATTGCAGTCTGAACTTGAGTATGTACAAGCATTAACATGCTGATGATGTGAATATTCTAATGTCTACTCCCATCTAAACAGTACCCTGTTCAGTGGACATTTACCAAGCACCTGCCACATTCTCAGCTTGTCTACTTCGTACCTGTGTGAACTGGGCAAGTCATTTAAACTCTGAAAGTTTGCTCTCCTCGAACGACAGGTGCTCCCCTCACAGGTTGGTGGGGAATTGAAGGCAGTAGTACCTGTGAAGCACTCAGGACGGCGCCTGCCGCCTTGTCCTCACTGTTGTCATGCTTACCACTGTCGTCATCTACATTATCACCGTGACTTTATTTATAGGTCACTGTTAAGTGAAGTGTGTAAATTAGCAGTAAGGGGATCATTAAATAAGTAAGAGGAATTATTTTGAGAGTCAGTAGTAGGAACGATGAGTGCATCAGATTTTTGTGGATTCAGAAAAAAACTTTTGGAAGAAGAAACTGATATTTGGCTTCAGTATAAAGAATGAGTGTGCCCTGGCTGGCGTAGCTCAGTGGATTGAGCGCGGGCCTGCGAATCAGAGTATCGCGGTTCGATTCCCAGTCAGGGCACATGCCTGGGTTGCAGGCCAGTTCCCAGCAGGGGACTCACGACAGGCAACCACACATTGATGTTTCTCTCCCACTCTTTCTCCTTCCCTTCCCCTCTCTCTAAAAATAAATAAATAAAATATTTTTAAAAAAAAAGAATGAGTGTGGGTTTGATAGAAGGCAGATTGAGAATGGGTCCTAAGCATTAGGAATAATTTAGTGTGTAGGAGAAGGATTGTAGTATCTTATCAAGTGAGTACTACATTATATAGTATTCCCCTGATATGCTACCAGTATCACAAACTTTGTTTTCTCAGAAATGGACAACTGAAATATGATATGCAGGCCCTTTGTTTATAGTAATGGTGTTGATATATTTGGTGACTTAAATCCGGATTGTGTGGTACCTTACACATAATAAGCTCTTAATGAATAACTAGTGAGTCTAATTCGGCCCCTTCTGAGAACCGCACATTCAGAAATAAGCTGGAAGTGTGTAGGAGAAATTCTAAGCTCTCTGAAAATAGGTATCACAAAACACATGTTCTTTACTCCAGACAGTTTTATGTACAGAACGCATTTCATTTTTCACATGCTGTGCAGTTATCTGGTTTCTTGTGGAAACACCCTTGGTTCTTCTGAGCAGAGATGAACAGATGCATGGTCTGCAACCTCAGGAAGGAGCGGAAGTGGGGACTGGCCACAAGGTTAAGACAAAATATAGTGATCAGAACAACAAAGAAACTAGCCTAGTATCTCCGAGTAGCCTCACAGTGGATGCTTAGTAGTAGGGGAATCCATGGGAAAAATCAGGTGGGTCCTTTGCATTGTGGAAGTCTAAGGAAATTACTGACTTTATAGTGTAGTGTAATATAACAAGTGACCCTGATGTGATTCTCAGTTATTAAGAAGAGGCAAATTTTACTAACTTACCATATACTTTGAGGGTATAAAAGTAGAAATTGCACTCTAAAACAGTTTCCTTTTTATTACAATGTAAGGTTTTACATATTTAAAGACTATTTCAAATATCAGATAGATTTGCAAATTCTTTTCTAAAGAGAAACATTCCCCCCCTAATAGTAACAAAAATTTATAACATGGAAGGAGAGGAGAGAGAAAAGTATTAATGGGTAAGGAACATCTCTTGGGACTTTGCTACTAGACAATTTCGAGAAGTTGTTTCTGAGAATATTAGAAATATTTTGCATGTAGGGTTGGGAACTTACATACATAGAGCTTAATCATAATTCAGTTCAGAAGATTATCAAAGACAACGTCTTACTTGTTTTCCATTTGGAATGACTTAAAGCCCGATAGCATGCAGGTTGTTTTAGGAGCATCTCAATTGTATTAGCTGAAAAATTAATAATAAATTGATCATACTGGAAGGAAGAACCTTTGTACTGTTTAGTTACGGGTTTGGGGCCTTTCTACAAAGCTTTCTGGATTCCTCTTTTCAGTCTCCAACTCATCCTTTCCTCTCCTTCCCTCACAACTAAGATCCGGTGCACCCAAGTTCCCCATTAGCTTGACTTTCAGTTTTTTCCTGAATGTACCGGTATCCACTTCTCATCGATATACCATAGTCAAATCTCATCAGACTCCTCCGTCTGGACAACTGCAATAGTCTCCTAACTTATCTCCTGTAATCTTTGTGTCACTGGAGCCAGCAGATTTTTTTTTATGTAGATAAGATCATGACACTCCCTTGTCAAAACTATTCAGGGACTTTCTGCCCCAAACCACTCACCAAGTTCAGGGCCCTTTTCTGTCCTCCACCTCTGCAGTTTCCTCTCCTGAGCTGTCTGCCTCATTCACCACACTTCAGCCATGCTGGCCTTGGTGCGGTTCTTTGCATCGCCACAGCTCGAGCTCAGGGTCGTTGTCTTTTTCATTCTCATCGCCTGTCATGCTCTGCCTGGAGTCTTCTTCACACGGCCTGTGTCCTCACACTGTCAGCTCTGTGCTCCCACTGCACCTCCGTGGAGCTGCTTTCCCTGACCCTCTTGACCCTCTCTATCCTCTTAACTCTTTTTTTTTCTCAGTTGAATTTTCACTCCTTACTATCTGCCTGCTCTAGTAAGCTCAGTGAGGGTCTCTTACTTTCTTCTCTATGTCTAGCATACAGGACAGTGCCTGGCAGGTAGGAGGCACTCAGTCAGTAAACAGACATGGAATTGATGGTTGAATGAACTTCGAGGGGCAATCAGAGCAATTTTTTCTTTAGAAAGAAGTACTTATAGTACTTATTTATATAATAAAAGTACTTAAGTATTAGTACTTATATAATATAAGCACTAACAGCTTCTTTTTACCACTAGTCAATATGGGCCATAAGTGGGGGGAAATCACCATTCTAGTTTACGATTGGATTTGACTTTAGCAGCCGTTACTACTGTTTTATTTCATAGCAGTTTAATTTCAAGTGTACCTGTCCTTATCATATGTGGGTCTACCTTCTAGGGAAAATCTCACCGTGACCAACAACTTCTTCTTCTCAAGAAGCACCTAGAAAACAATTACAGGAGCAGAGATCGAAAATGGATCGTCTTATTTCCAGAAGGGGGCTTCCTCAGGAAGAGACGAGAAACAAGTCAGGCATTTGCCAAGAAAAATAACTTGCCATTTCTTCAACATGTCACTCTGCCAAGGGTTGGAGCAACAAAAATTATTTTGAACGCACTTGTGGCACAACAAGAAAATGGGAGTCCAGCAGGAGGAGATGCTAGGAAACCAGGTGCGATGGCTTTTAGCATCGTTTTTTCTTTGTTGGGATTGAAGGATTTTCTGGAGTACCAGAAGATAACATTGTTATTTTATATGTTTATAATTTTTGTCAAAAATAGAAATAATACTCAGGGAGGGGATGAAATACAATTTTAAGTGTATCTATTTAAAAAAAAACAGTTAATGCTTACTATAATTCATTCAAATAATGCAAAAATGCATGAAGTCAAAGCTGTCTTTCCTCTACCTTATCTATTTTCACTCCTGGCAATTCTCACTGGTACAGTAAACATTCCAATGCAAAAATGCATGAAGTCAAAGCTGTCTTTCCTCTACCTTATCTATTTTCACTCCTGGCGATTCTCACTGGTACAGTAAACATTCCTGTAAATATATTTGCATTTCTGTGGGAGTGTCTGTGGTGCAGATTTGTAGAAGCGGAATGGCTGGAGTAAAAGACATAGGGAATGAAGTGACTTATTTGTGAAACTAATCATAGATATGCAAATGAAAGTGGTAATGAAAAAATGTTTTTATTTATCAAAGTTAAGAAAGCTTTTTTGTTTTTAATACAGACAATGAATTTAATACAGTTTAGCCATATTTAAAGTCCTTAAAATGTTGATAAATGAGTTATTGTACTGCAAAATAAGTACTTGTCAAAAGGAAATAATCTGAAATACTGGCAAAGAACTTTATTTTTATTAATAATAGTAAAAAAGTGGAAATAGCTGTGAGACGGGATAGATAATTAATAAAACATCCATACGACAGAATACAACACAGCCATTAGAAATGATGCTTACAGAGAATTTTTATTGGCTTGGAAAACTACTTCTGCTCGCTAATGATAATGGAGTGGGAGGAACAAACAACTCTGGAGAAAAGAATCCGAGCTCATAGGTATAAACAACAAAGCAGTAGAGACAAGTGAGAGGAAAGATACCAAAATGTTAGTTACCGCTGATTGCTTCTCTAATTTGTAACATTATGAATGCTTTGTCTCATTTCTTAATGCTTTTCTGTACTTTTTAAAATACTGAGTATGTGTTACTTTCACGGCCAGGAAAAAGTAAACCACACTCAGAGGTAGGACTGCATGTCTTGGAGATATGCTGGTGAATTGCGGAGACTTGCTGACAGTGTTGTGCCAACAGCAGGAAGACTTACGAGCAAGTTTAAGACACTATAGGAATGTGGTGATAGAAGCTGAAAGAACCTCACCAGGCCTGTTTCCTTAGTAGCATTTTGCTCTTTTTAAAAAGTATTCTTTAGACAAAATAAAAATAGAGATGATAGGCCCTCAGAAATATGTATTTTCAGACGACAGTGAGAACTGGACAGAGAGAGAATGCTGGTGGATTACACTGCGTTTTCCTTTCATTTGTTTTTTTCTAAGCAGTTGCTTGGCAGTCAGCTCTCTTAATCTTTCACCATCTATTGCAAAGACAAATTGAAAAAGTCTTTTAATAGAAAAGGAAAGTTCAGAATAGCTTTGCCACTCCAGAGATACGGTGCAATGTCAGCCAAGCCAAAGCTTGAAGGCAGAGGACTTCCAAACAGGATTTGCTGCACTAATTAAGGCTGCTGTTTTTAAATACTTGTACCCGGCCATCTCCTGTGATGTCCTAGACTTCAGTGCAGAGACAGTTGTCACATTGATTATCCAGTGGTGAAGAAAAACTTTTTTTTTCCTTTGGAATGAGACAATTTCTGCTCATAACCAAGGCAAAGTGGTTTATTATTTATCTTACCTTAGTTAACATTTCTATTCTGTTTAAGAAAAAATATAAGTTCTAGAAACTTGTATACCTGAAAACTAGTTTTACTTGTATTTTACCATTTTTTCTTTATGTTTTGGTATTTTGTATTTTTTTGTTTTTTTTTAAAGATTTTATTTCTTTATCTTTAGAAGGGAAGGGAAGGAAACAGGGAGAAAATATCAATGTATGGTTGCCTTTCGTGCATCCCCTGCTGGGAACTGGCCTGCAACCCAGGCATGTGCCCTGACTGGGAATTGAACCGCAATCCTTTGGTTCATAGACCAGTGCTCGATCCACTGAGCTACACTAGCCAGGGCTGTATTTTATTTTATTTACTGTTCATATTCATTATGTAGTGTTCTATTCCAAACAAACAAACATTCCATGTCTTTGTGTCTGTTTTAAGATGTAATCCATACATATATCAGAATTAACTTAAAATGATTAGGTGTTTTGATTATTGTGTGAATTAATAGATATTAAACAACTCTGATGAGTTTTCCCCCATGGTTTTATTATCAAAATTTTCAAACATATAAAAATTGAAAAAAATTTATAGTTAATATCCATGAGCTTACCAACTGGATCTGGAATTACCATTTTGCTATAATTTGCTTTATCATATCTCTCTCCATTCTTCTATCTATTCATTAATTTCTCTTTTTTTTAAATGCCTCTCACAGTAAGTTACAGACATCAGTATACTCTACCCCTCAACATTTCAGCATGTACATCATTGGTAGCTTGTCAAAATGTGTTTTTGTTACATAAACTCTGTTCCTTTAGCAGTATGTTATTTTAAACCATTTTTTACTTATTTCTTTTATGGGCATTTTTACCCCTTCAGGACGTTGCCTAAAATTTTTTAAGCATTTAAGGCTAGTTTGTAATTATTTGACATACCAAGGTAATGTGTCATTGATTCCTAATGCACATTTGGGCATACATTTAAAAATAAGTTTTATTTTTTAGGGATCTCAAATACCTCAGATGAAGGATAGACCACTACATGTTAAAGACTGGTTGTCCTCATTCTGCATGAAGATTCCTGTCTCAATTCTTGCTCAACTTTGTACTCCACGCTGACAACAAAAATAGTGTTTCCCCATTTCCTTTCCCCAAGCAGTTACCTGATGTCCTGACCAAGGGCAGACAGTCGGCCTGTTCCTTTATTTGTGTGTAACTCTTGTGACAATGAGAGGAGTTTTTTGTTTTGTTTTGAGATCAGCCACTAATGATCACATGCGTCAACAGAGTGCTTGCTTTATTGCCTTATTCCAATATTTATTAATGTCTCCCACGCATCGCATTAACTGGGTGCTCAGGTTATGTTGTTATATTTTGTGAATGGTTTTGTTTGGTTTTGAGGTCTGCTTTTAATTTTTGTGATGTAATACTTTAGCTTCTGACCTTTGCCAGTTTTTGAGCAATAGAATATAAATTAGACCTTGACAGTTCATAATTGTATTGAGTACTTGACTGACACATGTCCAGTAAATAATAGTGCTGTCGTTTGTTCATTTGTGTGAAGTTCATATAGTTTATAATAGAATAGGAAATGCTTAATTTCATCCTAAGTGTGTCAGTAGCACCAAGATCATCCTGTTTTCTTAAAGCAAAAGGTATATGAATATGCTTCCTGCTCAAGTACCTTGTACTATGTAATTTGTTGTAAGCAATATTAACATTGATCCATTTTAAGTCATTTTTTTCTTTGTCCTCAGACAGCAAATCAAAAGGCATCCAGTGGATAATTGATACAACCATAGCTTATCCCGAAGCTAAACCCATAGATATTCAAACCTGGATCCTCGGATACAGGAAACCGACAGTCACACACGTGCATTACAGGTGAGAATTCTACATTAGTACTCAACATACATCCAACATAAAGTACTGTCTTAGGACACTGTGAATGTCTCGATATTAAATTTTTAATCAAAAGTGAAAATGGTCAGTTCAAAATTGTTGTTATATTTTTGTTATGAAAATATTATTTGAAGTAATTCTTTTCACTGAGTGATAAAATTCTCTAAAAATGACATTCCATTAGTAATGTGATTACTTGATTGTCTGAAATGCTTTTGTAAAAATAATTAAAGGGCATACATCAAGGATAAGTATATATTCATTTGGGTTATGTAGATTTGTATTAATAGAAATAGAATTTGTTTTTAAATCATTAAATCATGTAAGATTTTTCTAAATGATTAAATGGATAACAATTATAATTTACATGTTAATATTTAATATTTTAATACTATGTCATTCACATAAACAACAACAAAACATTTATTGGGTATTCTGCACTAGTTTTTTTGAGATTTTGTAAATGTAGATTTTTTTTTTTAAAGAAGTTCATGTAGCCCTGGCTGGTGTGGCTCAGTGTATTGAGTGCTGGCCTGTGAACCAAATGGTCCTCAGTTTGATTCCCAGTCAGGACACATGCCTGGGTTGCCCAGTTGGGAGCACACAAGAGGCAACCACACATTGATGTTTCTCTCCCTTTCTTTCTCCCTCCTATCCCCTTTCTCTAAAAATAAACAAAATCTTTTAAAACAAATTTTTTAAGAGGTTCATGTAAATGTTTGTAGGTATTTGTATCAAAGCATGATGCTGATGGGTTCTGGATAGATTTGATCACTTTATAATCCATTTATTTTTATTTCCTGGTCAAAGATCTCAACCTATGACAACTAAGTTACAAGTGAGCAATTAGTCCCAAGGAAGATCAGAACTGCTGCAAAAGCCCTCAATTCAAGAGGAAAACTACTCACATTACTAGCCCTTAGAGAGCAGAAACTGTCACAGTTTTACAAATATAAGTTCAGAATGGGGAAATTTTGAAACATGAATTTTAAGACCTAACTGTTGCACATTGGGTTTTTGACATGTGAGGGTTGACTATAAAATTATAATTGATTCTGCTGTGTGACTTCCATCGCTGAATTATGAAATTCATGTATAAAGAAAAAAAGTAATTCTTTTTTATTTTAAACAATTTTTTATTTTTGATTTACAGTTAGCATACAATATTATATTAGTTGAAGGTGTACAACCCAATGATTAGACATTATGCAACTTCTAAGTGATCATCCCAATATCTCATACCCATCTGGCACCATACATAGTTGCTACAGTGTTATTGACTATATTCCTATGCTGTACTTTACATCCCCATGACTATATGGTAACCTCTAGTGTGTACTTCTCAATCCCTTCATCTTTTTCACACATCCCTCCCAAATCCTTACCATCAAAATGTTCTTTTGATCTACGAGTATGTTTCTGTTCTGCTTATTTGTTTACTTTGTATTTTAGATTCCATTGTTGATAGATATGTATTTAGTACCATTTTATTATTCATATTTTTAATCTTTTTTTCTTCTTAAAGAAGACCCTTTGACATTTCTTGTAATACTGATTTGTTGGTCATGAACTCCTTTAACTTTTTCTTGTCTGGGAAGCTCTTTATCTCTTTGATTATAAATGACACTTTGCTGAGTAGAGTGATAGTGCTTGTAGGTCTTTGCTTTTCATCACTTCGAATATTTCTTGCCAATCCCATCTGGCCTCCAAAGTTTCTATTGAGAAACCAGCTGACAGTCTTTTGGGAGCTCCCTTGTAGGTAACCAACTGCTTTTTCCTTGCCGCTTTTAAGATTCTTTGTTTTTAACCTTTGATATTTTAATTATGCTATGTCTTGATTTGAGTTTTTTAACATTCATCTTGTTTGAGACTCTGCACTTCCTGGACTTGTATGTCAATTTCCTTCACCACATTAGGGAAGTTTTCTGTCATTATATGTGTATTTTTTATTGTATTTTTCCCATTACCGTTTATCCCCCTTATCACCCCACTCCCCCAAAAGGACTCCAGGTCTGAGTCATTTTCTGTTTTTGCTTGTTCCCTCCACCCCTTAACCCTCCTCCCAGTTTTCATCCTGCTCTCTACGAGTCTTTCTATTTTGCTTGTTAGTTCAATTTGTTCATTAGATTTCACATTTGAATGAAATCATATGGTGTTTACCTTTCTTTGACTGGCTTTATCATAGTGTTCTTCAAGTCTATCCATGCTGTCACAAGGTTAAAATTTCTTTTTTACTGTTGAGTTGTATTCCATTGTGCATGTGTACCATAGTTGTTTTATCCACTCTTCTACTGATGGGCACTTGGACTACTTGCATATCTTGGCCATTGTAGATAATGCTGCAGTGAACATAGGTGTACTTACGTTTTTTCAAATTAGTGCTTCAGGTTTCTTAGGGTATATTCTGAGAAGTGGGATTGCTGGGTCAAAAGGCAGATCCATTTTTAATTTTTTGAGGTATCTCCATACTGCTTTCCATAGTGGCTGTACCAATCTGCATTTCCACTAACAGTATAAAAGGGTTCCCCTTTTTCCACATCTTTGCCAGCACTTCTTGTTTGTTGATTTATTGATGATGGCCATTCTGACAGGTATGTGGTAGTAAGTCATTGTGGTTTTAATTTGCATTTCTCTGATGATTAGTGACATTGAGCATCATCTTTTCATTTGCCTACTGGCCATCTGTATGTCCCCTTTGGAGAAGTGTCTGTTCAGGTCCTTTGTCCATTTTTTTTATTGGATTGTTTGTTTTTTTAGTGTTGAGTTTTACAAGTTCTTTTTAAACTTTGGATATTAACCCCTTATCAGATGTATCAGTGAATATGTTCTCCCATTCCATGGGTTGTCTTTTTATTTTGTTGATGGTTTTCTTTGCTGTACAAGAACTTTTTAGTTTGATGTGGTCCCATTTGTTCTTTTCTGTTGCCTGGTCATTATTTTTTACATAAGTTTTCAATTCCTTGCTCTCTTTCTTCTCCTTTTGGTACCCTCATGATGCGAATGTTGGTACATATGAAATTCTCCCAGAGGCTTCTTATATTTTCTTTCTTTTTGGATTTTTTTTTTTTTTTTTGCTGCTCTGATTGGGTGTTTTCTGCTTCCATATCTTTCAAATCTCTGTTTGATCCTCTGCTTCATCTACTGCATTGATTTCCTGTTATGTATTCATTTCAGTTAATATATTCTTCTTTTCCGATTGGTTCTTTTTTATGCTTTCTAGTTCCATTTTTACATTTCCTATCTCTTTGTTGAAGTTTTCACTAAATTCATCTACTCTTCTCCTAAGTTCACTGAGCATCCTTATCACCAGTGTTTTGAACTCTGCATCTAATAGGTTGCTTGTCTCCATTTTGTTTAGTTCTGTTTCTGGAGTTTGGCTCTGTTGTTTTGTTACCTGACAGGGACCAGGCTGGAGTGGGTCTGCCTCAGGCTGGCTGGTGGTGTGTTGGTTCTGACTTTGTGCAGGAAAGATTTCACAACAAGAGTCCAGGGGGTTTGGGGAGCACATTAATTAAAGCTAGGGACAGTGAAACAAGGAAGGACTTGAGACAGAAGAAGCAAAAGGAGAGAGTCTACGGGGGGCTGCTTTGGCTCACTGAAAAGTCAGAGAAAAGGTGCTTCAGACAAATTCAGGGGTTTTTGCTGTCCATTTTTCCCCTGGTTGCAAGTCCCATGGGTGTCCCCAGAGTTTTAAAAAAAAGTATGTGCCCAAGAGAAGAGTAAGGGAGCACTCTGAGGAAGGCATGCCCATGTCTTTTGTTTTGAGGGCTTTTATCTGTCTTCTGCGCATGGGACTCCTAGAGCAGGTCTTGGGGGAGGGTCTGAGCAGAATATTCATCAGCTTTCCAGGTGAGTTCTTTAATGCATTGGCATACCAAAATCAGCACAGAGTGGGTCTAGGGTCATTTTCTGGTCAGTTGCACCTTCAGTGAATGTCACTGAAAAGGGACATCCCAGAGGGGTCTGGAATGGGTAATTTATTTGCTCCTAAGTGCCCTTGTTTAGGAAAGATAAAACCTTGGGCTTATTATCTGGCTATAAATTGATCGACCAGTTTGCTCAGCTATCTGTCTCAGTTTCCCTACTCCACTTGCTATGGAGTTTTCCTAGCTTCTTACTAACTTGGCTCACTTTCATTTGGGACACATTTCTTTTTCCCCTCGATTTGGCAGCCTCCCAGTGTTTGTTTCTATGTATTATGCAGAGCCACTACATCTCCCAGGGTTGGTAGAGTGGCCTTGTGTAGTCCGACCCTTGTGTGGGCTGTGTACACCCTCCTGTTGTAGTCGAGCCTTGATTGCTGTTGGCACATCAATAGGAGGGATTCATCCCCGGGCATATCAGCTTCAGGGCCTGGCTGCAACCACTGCGGAAGATCCGCTGTACCAGTGCCCACCTCACAGAGTAGGACATGGTTCAGCAGGCCCTGGTGCCTGCTGAGTTTGCCCCTTGAGTGTGTCACTTGTGGAGGTGGTTGGGTGGCACTTCAATGTGGTCCAAAGCTGTCCACTGGGTGCACTGGCTCTGGAGCCTCCAAGGAGGTGCAGGCCAAAGTCTCCCGCTGCCTGTGTTCTGTCCAGGGCTATCTGGCATGAACTACAAAATGATCTGCAGATGGCTTCTACTCGTGTTGGATGTGGAGGTGCCCAGGAGAGGCCAAGCCGTGAACCAAGGCCAGCTGCTACTAGTGCCAGGGCTGGGGACACTTAGCAAAACGTATGAAGCACAATGAGGCCAGATGCTGCCTGTCTGACGGATTTTAGAAAAGGTCCGAGCATGAGTCAAGACAGGTCATTTGTATGGAAAAACCACTGGGAACAGGTTGGGGTAGGCCTGCAAGCTGGGTGGGGTGGGGTCCCAGGGAAAAACCAGGGCAGGGCAGACAGTCTTTACCAGGTTGTTGGAGTCTCCTAACATGGGGTGTGCCTCCAGCCTGGTGGGAGGAGGGTCAGAAAAACAGTGGCCTCTACCAGCACTTCTGT